CAAAATTTCATTCTTTTTAATGGCTGAGTAATATTCCAGTGTACATCTTCTTTATCCATTCGTCCTTTGATGGACACTTAGGTTGCTTCCATATCTTGGCAATTCAAATAATTTATTTTAAATGCAAACACACACAAGTGTGTATGCAGAGATAATAGTATTATGGTTATGGTAAAAAGAAGAAAAAGCCTTGGTCTTTTAGGGGTACATATGGGTTATCTATATCAAAAAGATCAGTCATGAGTTGATCAGTGTTCAAGATGGACAATGAGTACACAAAAATCATTATATTATTCTCCCTACTTTTATATCTTTAAACGTTTCCATATAAAATGATGGAAACAAACACACTTATACACACACATAAATATTATTTGGCTTAAATGAGATGTGCTGACTGTCTACAATACATTACTAATCAGTGGCTGAAGGAGGCCTTGTAATCTCTCTCCCAGTGCCCCGATTCAGCAGTGCCAAAAACGTCAGGAAGAGAGCAACTAGTTACACCTCCCAGGGCGTCCCGACATCATTGTATGGAAATGCCTTTCCTCTCTTGGACAATTCTTTCTACTGGTTCAGGTAGAGAAAAGTTATAATATAAAATATGCTTTATTTCCATCTGTTATCACTTGAAGCTGTGGCCATTTTAGTTCTGTTTTGTCACCCTAATGCTTCCAAACAAATGTGCTGAACACTGCTGTTTCAGGGATTACTTTGTAAAGCAAGGAATGGTTTGGTAAATAATCCTACTCACTCCTGACATATTTTTGTGTAGATTTTTAAGTGGAAATGAAGTTCTCCGTCTCTCTGATCAATCCCCCGTGGCCTGAGGCTTTCTCCTTTCCCAATCAGGGTGTCCTATGGTGATGTGAATTCCTGAGTGATGTTCACTCTGTTGCACTTGGGCATTTGGAAAAACAGAGTCCAGTTGTCACTCTGAGACAGTTCTTAGGGTTCGGTTCAATCTTGGACCAAGCAAATTGCAGGGAGGTCAGGCATGAAATTTCAGGCTGAAATGAATTTTCCTCTCCATAACTTTTTCTTCCTGAATTACTTGCCCGTGGATGGGGCTTTGGGGGAATAGAAAGAGATGGAACAATTACCGAAGGATCAGGCTTTTATTAGAGAGCATCTTCATCTGGATTTCTTCTTTTTCAGATGGGTGAGTCAAACGAAGATATAGACCAAATGTTCAGCAATTTGCTGGGAGAGATGGATCTTCTGACCCAGGTAAATTCCCCTTCTTAACTTTCAAGTTAGAAAAAAAATAGAGTCACAGAATTTGAGTTTCATATGACAAGAGAGCTATTTAAAAAAAAGAAAAGACTGGAAATTGACAATATTATATATTTTCCTCCTGTAACTGTGACAGCAGTAGGCAGAAAAATAAAGCTTTTTTCCCTGATCATACCCTGCTGAGTTCAGTTAATGGAATACATGGGTCACACATATGTTCTCATGCTCGCCATGTTCAAACATTTAGCCAGTGGAGGAATTTTCCTCAAGCAAACTTTCCACAACCGCCACCGCCGCTGAACAATTTCCCCTGCAGCCACCTTTCTATAAAAACTAGTCAGTTCATCACCTTCTGCATAAAACACTAAAAAAAGAATCATCCAGCATTCCTAAATAAGTCAGGGGTCTTAAAGTTTTCTACAAAATAAATGAAGAATAATCTATATTGTTTAAAATATTATTTTAGGAACAATAAATCAATATTAGTTGGTGTCTGTATAAAATTTGAGAAAATTTAAATTCTATGAAAGAGACAAAAGATGGGAGAACAGGCTTAGAGAAAAGGGGTTCTGACTAATGACAGGTGTCCTGGATTTGCCTTCACGTAAGGCTTTTCTGGGCTTTGATCTTTTCTTTATTGTGCTCGAGTACGTGTAGTCACAGGGTTGGTTTGGCTAAAACTGGTCTGCGAACAGGTAAGTCAGGGTGAAAGTAAGTTTTGGAGTAAAGTAAAGCCCCGCTTTGTCCCTGGGTCTAAAATCTGTTCTTTGATTCAGCCATTTTCAGCTGCCCCCGTTTTCAGCTGCCCTTTGGGGTGATCGAGTGTCTTCCCAGCCGTTTGAAAAGCTTATGTTTTGATCCCCACTTGTGAATTCTGTGCCTGTTCTGTTCTTGAAAACAAGGGTGGGGTTGAAATGGGTGGGTTAGCCATAGGCTTCCTAATTTTTCAAAATAAGCAAAAATCAAGGAACTACAATATAATAATGTTACAGTAACTTTTTTTATTTTGAAATAATTTCAAGCTGAGAGAAAAGTTGGAAGAAAAATACAAAGAACTGTCATTTACTTTTCTCCCAGATTTCTCATTAATTAACATGCTACGCCATCACCACCACCGGTCTGTTTCTGTTTCTTTTTCTCTGTCTTTGTGTGTGTGTGTGTGTGTGTGTGTGTGTGTGTATGTGTGATGTATGTGTCTACATAGATACCTATACACATAAAGTCTAGAAACCAGTACATATATTAACTGGACATTTTGTGGGGAAGGGGGATGAAGTCATTTCTACTATTTACATACAAAAAAAAATTCAAATACACAGATAGCCAGAAAAATATGAAAAAGGAGTAATGATACATTAACACAGATTCATGAAACAGAGTTAGATACAAATAGAAACAAGAATTTAAAATCTGATCAAAGTGGCATTCTAAATAAGTAGGAAAAAGAGTTATTTAATAAATTGTGTTAGGTAACACATCTAAAAAAATCAAAAGCTGAATTTCCCCCTCACACTTTACACTAAATGAGTTCCATGAAACACATCTAAATATATGGGATATATAGAGAAGATAACATGAGAAAACTGTTTATGCAATTTGAAGATGTAGGTAGCTTTCCTAAGCAAGAAATGGATACCTACAAGCCATAAAAGAATGAAATATTTAAATACATAAACTTCTAAATTTCTACATGGCAAAAAATAAACTATGAGTTCATAATGATACTAGTAAAAAGCAAAAACAACACTACTTCATTGGTTGCCATTGGAAATTGCCAGACATTAACATATTACTCTGAAAACTGATAAAGAAAGAAAAGAATCAAGCATTTATGTCAGTCTTTCTATAATCCTAGTCAAACCATATTTCAGAGTGAGCAAATCATTGATGAGAGAAAGTTCTTCTTTATGGCAGAATTCCAATTAAACACTGAAAAAGAATGAAGAGTTAGAAAATCACTGTTATGCAGCTTTTAATGAAATACGTTTTCAAGCGTATGATTTGGGGGGGTGTTTTTTAAAATATTGATTTGGGGGGGTGTTTTTTAAAATTTTATTTTGTATTGAAGTGTAGTTGATTTACAGTGTTAGTTTCAAGTGTATGGCAGGGGAACTCAGTTATACATACATACATATGTCTTTTCAGATTCTTTTCCATTATGGCTTATTACAAGACATTAAATACAGTTCCCTGTGCTGTGCAGTAGGTCCTTGTTGTTTATCAAGCATGTGACTTTCGAGGAGGTTACTGTGGAATAGTCTTCTCAAACTTCAGTCATTCACATATCATCTTTGTGATCTTTTGCGTGTCTTTATTATTTTCTTAATATTTGTCTTTAATTGATTTTTTAAATTAAACTGCATCTCAAGTAGGTTAAATATTCTAACTCAATTTTTCTTAATAAACATCCAAAGTTGATACACAATAATTTAAATTTTGACTTGTGATTTTGTATATGACCTAAAATCATTTGAGAGGCCACACCAGACATACAGAGAAAAATCGTTGGGCTTTGAATGACTTTCCTGTGAGTAAAGGAGTTCCCTCCTAAAACCATTTCCTCTCTCTTCTTTCCCTCTCTACGTTTTACTCAAAGTCTGTTATATCACACATTCATGTATTCGTATTTTGTTAGAGAACTACTTCTCATTTCTTTGGGTAGCATAGTAAATTATATTCCTGAGGGGAAAAAAAATGAGTTGGCTACCCTCATTGTGATGTCAGACCTCAAGTTATAGCATTTAAAAATCAACTGGTTAATGAAATTCTTTTTTTTTTTACTTTCTTTCACTAACTTTTTTGTCCTCTTATTCACCCCCATTGTTTCTCCATCAATCTTCCCTTTTCTCGGCAACTTTTGCATGGTCATCCTGTTTTTTTAATGAATTCTGGGGTTTCAATCACTTTTCCCTGCATTTTATCCTTGATTCTAACTTGCTTGGGTTCATTTTTTTTTAACGTTTTGATTAATGGTCTTTTTTTTCCTACTTGTAACTGGTTATACCTCATTAATTACCCACAAACATATAATGATTGATTTCCTTCAGAAATTTAAGACATGAACAAGGATTTTTTTTACCAAATCAAATTAATGTCAAAGGAAGCACTCACTTTCATGAAAACATTCATGTATTAAGAACCAGTGAAACCACTTCTCAAACTATGGATGTAAAAGTATTTTTAGAAATTTAAATTATATGTGTAATATAGCTTTTAAATCATCAAAGAAGTCACTTTTTCAATTAAAAAAATGTTATTTACAAAACTAGTAATTTATTCTGTCTTAATTTCTTTTAACAAGAGTTTTATTAAATAAAAATAACAGCATTAAAATCTTACTCCATAATAGCAGACTGCCTCCTGAAACAGCTTTTATCTTTGAGTGATTAAATATTCCTTTCTTTGGTGTCATAACTTAAGTCCTTACAGAATTGGGTAGTAGGTGTGTCATAAATGCATCAGTACAAGAAATTTTTTCTGTTGTTTTATAAAAATGAACAATCTCATTCTCATCAGTCTCAGTTGACCTATTTTGTTTCAAGATGTACCTTCCAGCATAATTTTTAACTTGCAATTTTCTGTAGGGGGAAAAAAATCACCTAAAACATGTTCAAGTAAGAATACAGTTTCTTAAAGAACATATGTAGAGAAAACATAAACAAAAAAAAATGACATTTTACTTACTGATTCAATTGCACTGCAAAAATGTTAGTATCATGAATAACTTTGGGGGATGATGATCTCTTTTCACAGAGTTTAGGAGTCGACACTCTCCCTCCTCCGGAACCTAAGCCGCCCAGAACTGAATTTAACTATAGTGTGGGTTTTAAGGATTTAAATGGTAAGCATAATCATTTCTTTTCTTAAGTAATTTGAAATCATAATGGTGACTAAAATGTGTACAGAAGTCTAATTTTAAAAACAAAATTTAAGGAACCTGGACATCATGACAAGGATCATTTTTAAAGTCCTGCCTGGATTTTATTCAGATGGTGTTTTATTGTGCTTGGATTGAATTGAAAGGCCAAGAAGATATTTTCGCCTATAGTGGAAAGGAACACTATCCTGCATTTGCAGAAAGTCTAAAAACTATTTTTTTAAAGTAAAGAAAGTTTCTTCTTCTTCTTAAGTCATTGGAGTAATAAGTTACAGTAGTATATGAAAATATTAAGAAGGAAATTAATTCAAGGAGATTAATGAACTGCCCATTTCATCTTGACTGATAATATATGAATAGATGCATCAAGAATATTTTTATTTAATATATAATTAACATATAATATATTTGCTCTATTTGACATTTTTTATATTCTCCCAGAGATCATCATGTTCTTTTACTAACAAAACTCTCTCTTCCTATTTAGTGTTTGACAATCCTTAGCCCATGTGCTATTCAAATTACAATGAATCCTAAAATAATTGCTTCCAAATAAATGAGAATTCACTGCAACTCTTGAAAAAGGTTTTTCAAAGACTTGCAGTGCCTATCAAAAGAATGAGAAACAGGATAATAGAGTATCCCAGTTACAGAAATCCAGAGTTCCAAATTTTATTTCTGTCACTGAGTTTCTGTTGTTTTCAATAATTTTTTGACAAACCCTAAAGGTGCCAATACCTGTATCTCGATAAATTATAATACATCTCTTCTACTTTCCCTTTTTTCCTATTTGCCATATAAAATTATTTGTCAGTCATTTTCATTGCAACATGGAATGATGGTAACATTCATGAAGTTTCAAAAAACCAACACACTTTTGTAAAATTATGACATTAATAGTGAACGTATACTTGGACATGTGAACAATGCAGGTTTGCCTGACACTCTCATAACAACTGGATACTTTATCAGTTCAGTTAAAATTCAAATATAATCAATAATGTAGTTGTAGTCATCTCAACTAATGCTTTTGAAACACTTAGTACCCAGTATCAAAAAATTACTGAAAATGACAGAAACCAAGAAACCCAGCAATATATAAACATAATAACATGAAAGTACAGTAACAAGAAACTCATGTCAGTAAGGAGACAAGACGATAAAGAAAGTACTGATGTGTCCTGAAAATTAAATTTGTTGGGAATTAAAATAGAAATAGATTTTTTTACCGTCTTCACTGAAAGCGTTGCTTAAAATGAGTCAAAAAACTGTTTCACCCAAAGTCATTTAGAGAATTAGTGACAGGCTTCCAAACAGAATCCCTAGTTCCTTACCACTCAGTTCCATACTGATATGTTAGGATTATAATTTGCTTTGGAAATTGTTAATATAAGTGTGATTATGGGAATTTTGTCCCCAAAATCTTTCTAAAGGATTAAAATCATTTGCTTATGTGCCAAGAGTCACAATGTAATTGGTAACGCTAGAAAATTCTGACTATGCTTCATTAGTTGAACATATCTTTTCTCTGAGGTTTTTTAAAATGAATTTCACTTAATTTTATGAAAAAGTTATATGCCCAGAAAGTGATGGCTTAGAAGGAAACAAACCCTTTTTACACACTTGGGAGATCCGGACTTCAGTCCACGTGCTGTACATATAACTAGCAGTGTGAATGTAAAATGCTCCAGGCTGTTTACGATAATGATGTTTGGCAATACATTATTTCACCATGCTTTCTGCTGATTTGTTACTGAGTAAGCTTCATTTCCACCACCCCCATTTCCTCCTAGTTTATGCTGCACAATGCAGCTAGAATTCTCCGCCTCATGGTCATCCTTTGTCCATGACACTCGCTATCTGGCGACTGCCTGATCTCAAAGCGCCCTGCCAACACAACTCCCCAACACCACTCCCTGTGTGCCCTGTGGTCTGACAGCTTTCAGGATCACATGTCTGACCCCCACCGGAGTCACACATGGCAGGAATCCCAGTGAGAACCGTCCCCCTCACCCCTATTCAGGAAATCCGGGGCTGCCCTTTCCTCTGACAGTGAGCTCCCAGCAATCTGTCTTACGAAGTCTTTACCAGTCAATTTCAATTAAAAAAAAAATTCTTTTTAACTCCTAAACTCCCTTAGTGCTTGATTTCCTGCTGTGTGTCATTCATTGCTCTTTCTGTGGTGTGAGAGTTCCTACATTGGGAAGGCTGCCCACAGGAACTCCAAGTCTCAAGGAACAGTAAATAAATCCTAGGGGTAAGATCTACTTTTTTCCAGACATATTGACCAGTGGTGCTGTCTGCCCTCCAAAGACCTGAGGAGGACTTTCCAACCATTTCCAACCTCTCCCCTCCCCTACTTTCTAAAATTCTAAGATCTTGTACTAGAATGTACAAGAATTCCCTACTTCGGTATTCTAATCACAGGCTTGGATTTGACTTTACTTATAAGTGACCTGTGAGGTCCCCCAAAATAGGGAAGATATTTCCCTTCCCTCCCCCCTCTTTTTTCTTTTTTGAAGGTAAAGAATTTTTTTAGCTTTATTGAGATTTAACTGACAAGTAAAATTTAAGATACCTGAAGTGTACAACTCCATGATTTGATATACATATATATTGTGAGAGGAACCCCCCAATCAAGTTAACACATTAATCACCCCACATACTGAACTTTTGTGTGTGTGTGAGAACATTTGAGTTCTACTCTCTCACCAAATTTCAGTTATACAATACAGTGTTACCAACTCCAGTCATCAAGTTATACTTGGATCCTCAAACCTCATTCACCTTGTAACTGAAAGTTCAGACCCTTTTATCATCCTCTTCCTATTTCCCCCACCTCCAGCCCCCTGCAACCAGTGCTCAGATTTACTTTCTAAAATAACCATCTTTCATGGCGTTTAAGGGTACAAACTTGTGAGGAATACTAAACTAGCCATAGAGATTTAATGTACAGTTTATTAAACACAGACAATAATATTGTAAGCGTGTAATGTGATAACTCTCCTTACAATGGCAACCATATTACAACACATAAATGTATCAAAGTAACACACATACACCTTAAATTTGTAAGTTACATGTCAAATGTATCCAATAAAAATAAATGATAAAAAAAAGTTACCATCGTTCAGATTTTCCAGGTGCAAATCGTTGTTCTGATGGTTAATGTGATTTCTCCTATCAGAGTCCTTAAATGCACTGGAAGACCAAGATTTAGATGCTCTCATGGCAGATCTGGTAGCAGACATAAGTGAAGCTGAGCAGAGGACAGTCCAGGCCCAGAAAGAGGCCTCTTTGAACCGGCCTCCTTCGGCGTCTCTGGAAGTTCCAGGTTTCAGTGGTGCAGCTTCTCTTGGTTACGGAGCAAATGTTGCTGCAACAAGTATTGGCCAATATGAGGATGACTTACCACCTCCACCGGCTGACCCCATGCTAGACCTTCCTCTGCCACCACCTCCTCCTGAACCTCTCTCCCAGGTACGTCCGTGGGGCCAGTGATGGCAGGACTCTTGACTTCTGCCACTCACAATCTCTTTCTTCAAAGTGACAGTTACATTCATGAGTTTATCTGCCCAGAGCTCTGAGATACTAAAAAAAAATGAGGATCTCGGATGTGCTCATTGCAAAGTCAGAGTCCCCATAAAAGGACACACTGGTGCATATAAAGGATATATTAGGACCATATTCACAAATTATTACAGTCTGGCGAAAAATCTATATTTGTATGCCACACTCCTTGATAATACTCAGTCTTTGGGGGTAATGTTCTATTAACTTGGTATGAACTGTGGAAATGATGTATTCATTTTTGTGACCCTGGTCCTAGCTCAGTGCATAAAGAATTGGAGGCATTCCTTACATATTTCTGAATATTGCTGAATCTGGCAGCCGTGTTCAGTAGGGTGAAGAGATCTCTGTATCACTTGTTAGGTCAAAGTTGGGAGGGGCGTTATGGAGCAGGTAGGTGAAGAGTACTTGATGTTAGTCACTTTCTGAATACCAGGAAAATAAACAGGTGGGAAGTTCATATCATCTTTATTTGGGGTGTTGACTTATGTCTCTCATCAAAGCAAGAAGGGCACTTTTAAGGATTTTTCTTAGAGAAAGTCACTTTAAAAATATGTTAGTGGGGGAGGGTATAGCTCAGCAGTAGAGCACCTGCTTAGCATGCCCGAGGTTCTGGGTTCAATCCCCAGGACCTCCATCAAAAGTAAATAACTAAATAAATAAACCTCAGTACCCTTCTCAAAAAAAGTGGTTAAAAAAAAAAGTATGTTAGAGTAAGAACCTAGCTGTATTTCCTGTGGCTTCTGCATTTGCTGTGTGATTAATATTAGTATTCATAAATACATTTGTAGTAACCTGGACAGTTCCTACAAAGCCTTTTGGATGAACAAATATGAAATATAAATCAAATATGAAATCCTACTTATTGATCTATTGTGTAATTATTGTATAAAAATTATTTGAAAATTGGCAATCCACAGAGAGCAGAGGCTCTTTTTTCCCCAGTTTTATTGAAATGTAATTGATATATAATACTCTGCAAGTTTAAGGTATACAACGTGATGATCAGATACACATACGTTGCAAAATGATTACCACAATAAGGTTAGTTAACACTTTCATCACCTCATAAAATTATCTTTTTGTTGTACGTGTGGTGGGAACATACAAGATCTACTCTCTTAACAACTTTCAGATTTAGGACACAGTGTTGTTAACCATAGTCACCAGGCTGGGTGTCAGCTCCCCAGAACTCACTCATCTCCCCGCTGGAAGTTTGTATGCTTTGACCCACCTCGCCCTATTTCCTCTCTCCCCCAGTCCCTGGCAACCACCATGCTACTCTCTGTCTCTGAGTTCAGCTTTTTCAGTGATGCCCTCAGGGTTCATCCATATTGTCACAAATGGCAGGATTTCCTTTTTTCTGGTGGATAAATAGTATTTCATTGTATATGTATACATTTTCTTTATCTGTTCATCAGCCTCAGACATAGGTTGTTTCCATGTCTTGGCTGATGTGAATAATGCTGCC